TGCATGGATGGAAGGATGGATGGATGCATGGATGGAAGGATGGATGGTTATTGCACATCTCTTTGCGCTGTCGGTGCTGCTGGCTGTTTTTCAGTCTCCTCCTCCTTGTTCGATTGCTCCTGCTCCTCCTGCCTGATGGCAGCGGCTGGAACAAGTTGTGACAAATCTTAAAATGTTTGTGGCTTTTACTGCTGCTGATTCTCAGTAAGAAGATCCAGGAAGTCCCTTTTCCTGGTTTATCCAAAGGTTCTGGTTGAAAGTTGAAGCTGCACGGTGACATTATTGTCCATGATAAGGAGTTACTTTAGGCCCTTTCACAAAACACTTCATGCCAGAGACGTCTTTCCGTTGCCTCTGTGGAATCCTTGACAGGTTGGAGGCAGCCTGGAGGGTTAAAGTCAACCCGCCGCTGTTACACCTCTGTGCCACCAAACGAATGGCCGCATTAAAAGTTGAACCGACTGAAACTGGATGGTGTGATGTGGTGACAGATGGTCTGTACGTCCAGGGTTTAGAGCGGGACATGTCCAACGCACATTGAACGGTTGACTTGCGCTCCACGTCTCCATGGTTCCATCATGGCGGCTTCATTCTGAAAGCTAACACTGCTGCAGGACGTGGATGACTCAACTGGTGCTTTATTAACAACCAGAGGCAGATTAAAAACAGGCTTTTCTTTGAAGCCTTGTTTTGGTAAAAGGGGCTAAATTTAAAAAGAAGAGATTTAATCCCTTCACATGGACGCTGCCTTTACTCTATCGAACAATAACTTTATGGCTCTTCTGGTGTAGACGGACAGACCGTTACATGTAGTGTGGTGAACGTTGACGACCGTCTCCACAGTCACTGTTGGGTTTGATTTAGCAACAGCATTCATTTCTTGTTCTCTTCTTCTATACAGACACAAAATGTGCCCCTAATGTTGATTTTTGGAGTCTTCCAACAGATTAACCTAAAAGTTAAATGCTGGATTTTTAAACCCCCCAATTTAGACAAGAGCCTTGGTTTTCACCTTTTGGCATGACTTGACCCCACAGGTCAGATACCAAGAGTCCACACACGAAGGGACATTTCTACAAGCATGATTTATGTTCTTGTAATAAAGCGATTAAGTGCTTGTTGTAATGTACTAGTTAGTGTGCTTTCCTTTGGATCACAACTTTTCCCTCAGCAGATGTGAGGAAAGACACATAAGTGGTTGTGAAACTTTCAGAGCTTCTTACATTTCACGGAGCGGTTTGTAACGCTGTATCCTGCGCTCTCCGGGGAATGTCTCAGCTCGTGCGAGGCTGAGTGGACCTGCGTCATTCTGCTCTGACTGGGTTCAGAGGCGGTCTGGATTGTGCAAAGAGGTTACACGAGTTTATTAAAACAGCATGTGTTGGTCAGGGAGAGCCGGGGAATTGTGAAATGTGGTGTTGAATTCTAACTCAAAGCATCTGCGTGGTCTCTCGTTCATCCAGTGTTGGGCAACAAATGTTTATCTGTCTCACTGCTGGTGTGTCCCCACAGACTGGGAGAGCCTGACGAGGAGCAGAGGTCAAAGGGCAACAGCGAGGGACCATCTGTGGCTGGATAACACAGAGCTGCCAGATCCTGCAATGCCAGAAGAAGCTACTAAGGATGCCATGAGAGCTCCGGCTACCTCGGAGAAGACCAACAACAACGAGCAGCCGGCAGTCGCCGTGACGGCGGTGAACATCCCCCGGGTGAATGAAGTCCAGCTGACCGCAGCCACCGGCGGCGCCGAGCTGTCCTGCTATCGCTGCACCGTCCCGTTCGGTGTGGTGGTCCTCATCGCAGGCATCGTGGTCACTGCGGTGGCCTACAGCTTCAACTCGCACGGCTCCACCATCTCTTACTTTGGCTTGGTGCTCCTCTCGGTCGGACTGGTGCTCTTAGCGTCCAGCGTTGTCTGCTGGAAGGTGAGGCTGGAGAGGAAGAAGGAGAGGCGACGGGAGAGCCAAACCGTTCTCGTCACAAACCAAAGGAGCATTTTTAGTTGAGCCTGTAGCTCCAGCTGGTCTCCTGAGTCTACAAAGCGTCTGAAGGTGTTTTTTGATGGTGAACCAGCTGGAACCAGAGGTTACTCAGCACATGTTGGATTCACAAGCTGTGAAAACTCAGACCGCAGACTCTCAAAGCCCAGAACTCACGGCTTTGAAGGCACGGTCAGGGATTTATTTGTCAAACTGACGTCGAGCATCTGGTGAGCTGGGAATGCAGCCAGGAGGAATGAATCACAATTAAGATGAATGACCACCGTGCACAGCGGTGAGGAGGAAGTTTCCCATCAATCTGCCGCCGCATGAGGCGGTTTTGATTGTGATGGGGTGGATTATGAAAACTGAAATCCCACGGAGGAGGACGGAAACGGACTGGAGAGTCCAGGAAAGTTATTCACACCTCATTTATTGCACATATTTGTTGATAAAGTCTCATATTTCACGGTTCAGGGAACTCGGCTGTGATGGAGGACGGTACGCGGTATCTGAACGTCAGATTAGAGGGCACATAATTTAACCATAAACACGTATTCTCTTCAAGCACTTTGTTCTTATTTGATATTATTCATCTTTAAAAAAATAAATGTAACAAGTGAGATGTTTTGAAACATTTAAATATGAATTGTCCATCCACATTTATTGTATTATTGCATGTATTAACTGAACAAAGGTTCAATAAACGTTTCAATAAAGTCATCAATACCCTAAAATGTTTCAACTTTCTGCAGAACCGTGTTTTACTGGAGCCTAACTGGTCCTGGACTGTTGGTCCAAATGAAAATGTTCAGCTATAGGAAGGATGAGATGAAGAGAAGATGTAGAAACAACTTCTAAAACCAAATGGGAAATATCTTCATGGTGGAAACATGATTTGACGTCTTGTTTAATGTTGGAAGAACGTGACGGGTCGCTCTGCAGTGAAGGTTTATTTTTCTGGAGGTGGAGAAGAGGAGAGTTATAAACTAACTCTTAGCTGCTTCCACAGCTTATCTGAGGGAAATGTTTCTTTCATGGCCCAGATGGGCGAGTCAGACACATTTATGTTTGTCTTATGAGGATTGTAAACATCTTCCACATGGAGCTCTTCCATATTGACTTCCAACATCTAGTTTTGGTTTAGGTTTACAGATGTTGTACTGCTAAAAAAAACAAAAAAAAAACATCTGGCAGCATTTTTACCAGAACCTCGTCAAGTAAACATTGACCGTTTAAACATTTAGCAGAACACAGTTAAAGTTCATGATTTAATGTTTGTGTCTCCATGATACTTGTGCTTTAAGTTTAGTTTTTACGGCATCTAAAGATCGAAACAGTCAAATATTTAGTTACATTTAATCACATGCGTGTTCTCCTTTGCAAAGAAAGAAACTGAATCACTTGTTTTCATTCAACCTTTATTTCTACAGGCTAGTCTCATTGAGCCACGAGGACTCATTTACAAGAGGGACTTGTTCCAGACAGAACATATAAAGTACAGAGAACAATAACAGTAAACAATAATAACAACAAACTTCAGTAAAAACGCAGTTAAAATCACGATGCCGTAAAACACCGAGCTGCCGGATCCTGTTTACGTTTATCCCAAAAGTAAACCGGAAGCCGAACTTCTTCTTCTGTATTTTTTTTTTGAGAGTTTACCACTCTGCGCATGTCTGTGCTTCTGTTCAGAACAAAGCCCGCTGCATGTAAACGCTTGTCATGAACAGATTGCGCCCATGTAAACGATGCATTTGAATGATTTAATCTGAAAACATTTCAATCCGGTCAAAAAAAAATGTGCGCATGTAAACATAGCTAGTGTCATCAGCATAGAGATGCAAGGATGCGTCAGGAATGTTTAGACCTACATTATTTATATGAACTGTAAAAAAAAAAAGAGTGGGACCTAAAACTGAGCCTTGTGGCCCACCACTGGTGACCGTTAGGTATGAAGTACCGTTATGTCGAACACATTGTCTCCGACCTGAAAAATAGTTTGAGAACCAGCCAACAGTGTGATCTGAGAAGCCAATATCCGAGAGCTTGTGACATAAGATGTCATGATCAACAGTATCAAAGGCTTTGGACAGGTCTAAGTAGAGTGCAGCGCAGTAATCCTTACTGTCCAAGCTTCACTTGAATGAGATCCTTGATTTAAAAAAAAAAATCTCTTCTGAAAACGTGTTTTATGTTCGTTATCTTGGTACAGCTCCGAGTAGAGTCGCCGCTCCTCCTCATTGAAAGGAGTCCGCTGAGGTACAGATGCCACTTTTCAGCTCTTCTTGGAGGAAAGGAAAAGGTACTTCTTGTAAATGAGTCCCCGTGGCTCAATGAGGCTAGCCTGTATAAATAAAGGTTGAATGAATGAGGTGGCTGGGACTTCTGATTAGACTGCCTACCTCTGGAGGCTCTCCAGACAAGTTTCAATTGGAAGAAGACGCAGAAGAAGACTCAGAAATCACAGGAGGGACAATTTGTCCTCTCAGAAATGCCTTGAGATTCTCCAGGAGGAGCTAAGAAGTGACAACTGTATATTTTTAAGATTAAAGATCATAATTTTTTTAATATGTCACGGTAAAATACACAAACTCCCAAATAGAAACCAAGCTTTGTGAGTGAAAAGTCAAGAACAACGTTGAATTGAACACAGAAGAACCCGTCCAGAAGACCTGATTAAACCTCGTCAGATTTGTCGACCTGATTTTTGAGCATGCATCAATATATAAACTAATTATTTCTTTTGAATAATGTTTGTTTAGTAGGCTGCCTTCAGGCCCAGGCCTCCTTTGTGAAAGAGATCTGTGATCTCGATGGGATTTGCCTGGCTAAAAAAACGTTCATAAAACGATAAATACATTTTTAAATGTCGTCTAAATATTGTATGTTTTTCCTTCTGCCAGCCTCCTACAATGAGACATGCAGGACATCACTTTCATCAGTAAAAAGAAGTTGAACTCTGCCGTTTGACCCGTTTGGTTTTTAAATAGCCCGGACATGGAGGTATATTTATAGTCAGCATTTGCGTTGCTATGCATCCGTGTGACACCAAACACTACAACTGAAAGGCTTCCCTGCGTCAGAGGAGAACCTGCAACCCACACTGTCACTTTTGGGAGATCACCACCCTTCGGGCAGTTGGATCGGTGACACATTTATGGGACACATAACACAGCGAGGCATCTCCTCCCCGCCTCTCAGGTTGGAGGAGGCCGGACTGAAGTTGGAAAAACCAGAGACTTGATATGAAGTTTGACAGCTGCTCACCATCAGCGTCTGCAGGCTCTTTACGCACTGCTGGCACCTCCTGATGGGTCTGTGTGCGTCACTTTCTGTGCCTCACATGGTTGTCATTCCACCCTGTGCCAAGCTGCTGGGTTAATTTATCAATAAACAGGAGGGACCCCAGGGGACCAAAGTCCCCACCACAGAGAAATACAGGATACAGTTACAGCTAAACTAAATAGGTTTCAATACAAATACAAGACAAGTACTCATGATGCTTGAACGGTTCCATTTGTTCCTTTATTTTATTGGAAAGTTAAAAGACAGAATAGAAGAAAAGCTTTTCTTTGGTAATGAAGTGAGAAGAAGCTGAAACTGAGTAATTACAGTTCAAGAAAATTCAAAACACCAAGAGCTAAAAGGAGCAAAACACTAGCTGAAATAGGAAAACGTTAGTGGAAAGGCTAAAGGCTAAAGGCTAAACGGAACAAAATGCTAGCTTTCAAGTCAAATTCGGACGAATGGACAGAAGGATGGATGGAAGAATGACAGATGGATGGATGGATGGATGGATGGATGGATGGATGGATGGATGGATAAGGGATGGATAGATGATGAATGGATAATGGATGGTGGATGGATAATGGACAGATGATGAATGGCTAGATGGATGGATGATGAATGATGGATGGATGGATGATGGATGATGGATAGATGGATGATGGATAATCAATGATGAATGAAGGATGGATAGATGGATGATGGATGATCAATGATGGATGAATGATGGATAATGGATGAATGATGGATGGATGATGGATGGATGAATAAATGGTGGATGGATGAATGGATGGATGGATGGATAGATGGATGGATAATGAATAATGGATGGATAATGATGGATGATCATTGATGAATGATTGATGATGGATGGATGGATGGATGATGGATGATCATTGATGAATGATTGATGATGGATAGATGGATGGATGGATAATGGATGGATAATGGATGGATGGATAATGGATGATAATGGATGGATGATGGATGATGGATGGATGGATGATAATGGATCAGCCGAAGCTTGAAGAGGCTCAGTTTGGACCAGCCGTCTCTGACCCGTCGAGGGGACTGAAGGGACTGAAGGGACATGTGGACGCTGTCTTCAGTCCAGCCAATCGTTCAGATTGATCTGATCGGCCCTGATTGGCCGGCTGTTAATTAAAAACAGAACAAACTCTGAACTGATTAGATTTGCTGTTTAGGCCAAAATCAACTTCCTGTGTTTTCAGATCAAAGATGAACTTTGTTGATCATCAGAAACTTCTCGCTGCGGTCTGAGGAGCCCAGCCAACATCGTGATGTGCAGCCAGCATGCAGCGTAACGTGCACGGTAAAAACCTTCACTGGACGTTGAAGTCGTTTTGAATCATCTGCAGCAGCCTCTCAGCTTTGTACTCCGGCTTCCTTTGCTCAGAGCCTCACGGCACGGATCGGAGCGACTCTGTACTTTGGAAAACTCCTGAGAAACTGGAGGAAGCTGGAAACATTCAAGGCCTGCGTGTTTTTAGATCAGTTATTCTTTCCCCATCATTTTGTTTCTCTCTCCGATCTTTCAGCTGTTGCCTCTTTAGTCGATTTCCGCTCCTAAAATCGCTTGACATATTTCATGTTTTAAACAAAAATCATCTTCTGCTCATAAGAACGAAGCGTTTAGCTGAAGAGTCGAACCTTGTTAACGACGCTCTGCACAATCTCATGAGATACTGCTGCGTGTGCTGGTGTACAAAGCAGGTGTCGAGGAAAACTCTCAACTACTACCACACCAAGCTCTAGCCCAACATCATCAATTTAATCAAGTATTGGCTAATATAGATCATTTGTAGTCGCCATCTTGAATTGGGTTTGCTCCAGATGTTATGTACGTTTGATGATTACTGCCTGAGAGTTTCCTTCAAATCTGTGGTTCGTATGATATTTTATTAACACTAAGGAGAAACAAACATGCACAGAGGTAGATGTAGTTAATGATGAAACAGACTGTGCTGCTTTTCCATCAAACAAACCCTCACAGGACCCCCCCCCCTCCCCCGCTTGCTCTCAGACTGCAGGTTTACTTGTGGTTTCTAGAGTTTCCAAAAGCAGAATGGGAGGAAGGTCTTTCAGTTATCAGGCTCCTCTCTTGTGGAACCAACTTCCAGTTTCTGTCTGTGAGGCTGACACATTGTTCGGTTTTAAGACTGGGCTCAAGACTTTCCTTTTTGATAAATCCTATAGTTAGGTTTAGCTTGGGTTTCCTGAGCTATCCCTTAGTTATGTTGCTATAAGCTTAGACTACTGGAGGACAAATTGACCTAATTTCCTTAAATGAATTGTTAAAATTGAATATTTTCTTATTTGAAACTATTTCTA